GACCAACAAATCAGATAGTCTAAACGTACCTTTAGACATAATGGTCATTTGACAACTTTGTCCAAGACAAGAAGCTTCCAATTGGGCAGGATACTGTAGATACAAGACACTTTGTTTTCATGTAATCTTTGCCGAAGGAAGCAATATCCTGTATTGTTGGGGTCTCGTAAAATTAACATCGGTAACATCGAAATATCACTCTTCATGGGTTCATTTAGCTCCAAAATAAAAAAAAAAAAAACATCCAAACATCATACCTGCATACTGAACCCTCAAAGAAACGAACCCCTAACCTGACTACGCAACCGCACAGCAGAAAAAGAGATGCCACTTTTGAGAAAAGGGAAGAAAGGAAAATGCCAGTAAAAAGAGTGAAATTGTGCTCGCTCACAGCCCTAGCATTAGAAACACGACAGAAAAATGTGCTTTTAATTATTTAATTAGCAGATAATTGCGCACCGTGTACATGGCCGTTAAGGCTCGTACGAAGGGAGTCGTGTATTCGCATCGCGAGCATTGAAAAGCATGGACGTCCTATGAGTTTCGAAACGAGAAAAACAACTTCGATCGCGTAAGAAAAACTCATCGAAGCAAGTCAGTCTACTATACTAGACTAGTGGGGTAGCCAGGGGAGGGCAGGAAAACAGAAATGTTAATTTCGATTTCGTTTTCCTTCGCCGCCGCCGACGACGACGGATGACGACTCCCGACTGATCTACTTCTCTGGCTGGCGGCTGTCCTAGTAGGCGAAAATTGTTCACGCATCATCGCGAGCGATTCGAGGATAGTGACGTCATTTATGACAGTTCTGTGCGAGCGAAAACAGTTGTTTTTTTCCTTCATGGATTCTGGTGGGTGAGAATAAAACGATCAAAAGGGTTTTCAGCTTTAGAAAAAAAAAAGTGACGCCCCAATGTTTTCCCGCGTCCATAAATCAATCGTTGGGAAAATAAGCAGTCATTGACAATGACAGTCACAGTCTTCTCCGAATACAGTTGATGGGAGAAGCGTGCGGGTTTTGGGTGGCTTCGGGGTATAAACAAAGCCGATCGGGCGATGTCGAGTTGTCGAGACAACATAAAATCTGTCAAACCACCTGCTTTGAAGCGGTTTTCCGAGTGGTCAGTCTCATAGAAGATGTTTGATGATCGCTTCCCGCCGCAGCAAATCTAATTTTAAATCCCACTTCTTCCGAACAATTAAAATTGACCCAGTTTCCTACATCGGCCCAATGTCACAACGTGTACCGCAGGATGGATTATAATATGGGTTAGGAAGGTACTCCCTGTAGAAGGAGGGTGGTTGTAGTATGTGTGTCACAGTACACAGATGTTGAAGGTTCACCTTGAAGATGTTTCCTTTGAAACGCACGCCCTCGTCACTACTTTAGCAGAGGCGTCAGTATGTTTCGTGTTAATTCGGAGAAAAATTAATGTTGTTGACGGAAATAATGGCAAGGATGGTAAATAAATGTGGAAATTTTTTGTCAGTCAAGCAGATGTAAAACTTCGTTCGACTAATAGTTTGCTCTCCAACTAAAAAATGGTTTGACAGTTGGTTGTAACGAAAAATGTATAATGTGTTTTGATTTTTTTTATGTCTTCTAAGATTTGTCCTGTCAAACATTTCAGATCAGGGATTGAAAGATTGAAATCTTAAAAATAATAACTGAAAACTTCAAGTAAGCTCCGCTTCACTTAAAAAATACATTGTAGTCAGTACAGGCTTCAATATGGTCATTTTTAAGTCCAAAAGTGTAGTTTTTTACTACAGAATAATCAGTTTTCGAATGAAAGATATTTGATCGTACATTCAGGAAATTGTGATTAGAAAATATGTTCGGATACAAATGCGTAATTTAAGCTAGAAATAGCAATTTCCGGCTAAAATTTATGATAACTGTCCGAATAACTAGCAGATTTATTTTAAAAAATGTAGCGAACAAGTCTAGATGAACATCTCAACAGGTCCTATCTGCGTTGGTCGATTCTCTACATCGACATTCTCCTTAGATAACCACGGTCATGCAAACACATTTTGTACAATACACCATAAACAATAAACAATAAAATTACTAGGCAGTTCGGATAGGGAGTTACACAATTTATTTTAAATGACTATTCCTAAAAAGGCACCTGGTGGGAAATTTGCACAAATTCAGAGCGAAACAGTTTTTGGGCGTCCACTGTCAGATTCATAAAAATTACCAGGGATTTCGAAATCCAAACAAATTGCTTCGGAACTCGTGTTAATATTCTAAACTATGCCCGAAGAATTCTAGCATTGGTTTTTGCACATTCAAAACAAGTTTTCCTAAATAGTCTTCGACGGTATTTTTCTGAGTACTTCAGGGTTTTCCCTTCTTCATTCCTTACTGGCTTTCACGAGCTTCGGCCTGCTCTCAAAATAAGATCTCTCCCCGTAGAGCTTTTGATCTAATTTCCGTCCTACTAAGCACAACCTGCACTTTACCTCTATTTTCTGAACGAGTTTGAACGAAAAATTGAATATTTCTGCCAAAGATGTCTTCTAAATTTATTCACCTTTCCATTCGTACCGTTGGATTTGATAAAGAGTCGCAAATTGTTGAGATATTGTTTAAAATCTAATAGGGGAATTTACGTATTCTCGGCAACCTAAGCAGCGACCTTCTTTCTATACAGGGTTACTTCCACTCACTTGCTATAAAAAAATGTTTTTCGGAATTATGAAATCATGAAATAGTATAATGTTAATTAGTACTTATAAGTCACAAGAAAAGGTCATGAAGTATATATTTGACTCATAAAATCTGTCAATATTGCTTTCAGTGCGTCACAATCAGCGATTTTACGACTCGTGAGCGCTCACTCTGAGTGAACGCTCACGAATCACAAGATCGCTGATTGTGACGCTCTGAAAGCGAAATTGGCAGGTTTTATAAATCAAACACATACTTTACACCCTTCTTGTTACTTACAAGTACAACATATCATTATAACATCTAATGATTGCATAATTCCGAAAAATATTTTTTTATAGCAAGTGAGTGGAAACAACCCTGTTTCTATAGCCTTTTTCTCTAAAGAACGCACACATATGCAGTATTGGTTTGTTTACAATCTTTTGCTGCCAGCTACTCTAACAATTTCAGTCGAAAGAATTGTCAAAAACTGTTTTGAAACGCTTTTACAAAGCTCCAATCTTCTCTAGTGAGAGCGAGTATTGTCGGCAACCGTTCCATTTGAACTGCATGTAAATCTGCTGTTCTATTATCGGCAACTCGAAATCAGCTACAATTTGTAGTGCGTTTGTTTCATTTCAAGAAAACCTTGCTAGATTGCTTTTTCTCAGTGGTAAAAATATAGTCAAATTGAAGCTGAAAGCATAAAGAATCGTTTGCATGCATTCAGCGAAGTGTTTTCGTAAGAAAATCCAGTGAAAATAGTGTTTCAATTTGTGTTGCCGAAAATAGTCTGCCACGCCGAAGCCGTCATTTCCCCTACTGCTTCTTGATTCTAAATTCGTTCTACGAGTTTCAATTCCGTCCTAACGCATTGAAACGCCATTAGATTTCCTTCGTCTTACGGATAAACGTAGAAAAAGGGGATTCGCTTGGAGCACTTCTTTTGTTTTGAGAACAATGAGCGTAAATATTCATACAATGCGCTCTAACAGGGTTTATGTTGTAGCAAGTACGGGAACATGCTTTTGCTTTTTGCTGTACAGAATCTTACAGAAAAGCAAGAAAGGGAACAGGCCTAGACCGGACCGGGAATCCGACCTGCCGCCTCAATCAGGTTTGATAATACCGTGATAGGTTATCTGAGGTCCTCAGATTGACAATCTTAGACGAGCGTTTTTGGAGTTCTAAGTTCTTGAAATCTTTCGAAAATCAAAGACAGCCATCCTGGTATTCCGAAAAATTCACGTCCAAAGATCAATACCACCGGATTCGAAACCATCATTAAAACAACATCAATAAAGTGCTCCTCTACAGTAAACCCAAATAGCTCCATTCGTTTTCCCATTATTTCCCTTCCAAACGACAACAATAAATCCCTCTATGAAAAGTATTAATTTGACCTATTAACGTCGCATTATTCAAATTATACCATCCACCACCCACGAGACACAAACGGGGAAAATATGTCTCTCTCTCTCTCTATCGCGAGTGGAAAATCTTCCGCCAAATCATCCACAGCCGCAGTGTGCTCTGGGGAGGACCGGCGAGCTCCATTCTTCCAATAACAAAACGATTATATTCCGTCTGATGCGGCCCTAACGACAACGACGACGACAGTTTTATTTCCAGCCTATCGTTCGTCGCTCGTTCCGGTAACCTACATCTGTTCGAATCTAACAAGCTGTAACGACCCAGCAAAGATCATGCCCGTCGTCGTCGTCGTCGTCGTCGTCGTCGTTCGGCTCAGAACACGCAGTTGGAAGATATTTGTCTTCCCCGTATTCTGTCTCATCTGTTTTCGTAAGAACAAAACCCGACGCCTCCAAAGACGCAATGAAACGCAACTTGTTCTCGGCGGAATCTGAATGCTCGCGCGTTCCATCACCGTATTTTTTTTTCACGGTTTATTTTCGTGTCGGTGAGGGTGTTTTCCGCTTCCACCTACAACGAGGTGGGAAATTCCCGATCCCCGGAGCGGTGACTGGTTTGTATCAAGCAAGGGGAGATGCTGCAAGATCCGAAAAAATCGAAAACAAATAACAACGCTTCCACCCTGGTCCAGACACGACGACAGTTTGATCCTAGCAGTCGTCGTCGGTACGTCCCACTTTTTCCGAGGAAAGCAACGGTTTCTCTGTTGTTCTCTGCTGTAGAACAGAGGCCTCCTGCGATGCGAAATGCCGGATCTTACCAGTTGCTATGGATTGGGCTGAGACAAGTACGGGCACACTAGCAGTGTCTAAGTTTAGCTTCGTGGAATCACGCGATGATGGTGAGGAGGATGATATTGACTATTTGGGGTGGTAGTTGGTGCCTTCTTCATATCGAAAACAACAATTTGTTCAACAACAGCAGTTGTTGTTGTTGTTGTTGTTGTTGTTGTTGTTGTTGTTGTTGTTGTTGTTGTTGTTGTTGTTGTTGTTGTTGTTTTTGTTGTTGTTGTTTTTGTTGTTGTTGTTGTTCGTTGTAGCGTCCTTTTCTTATCACACTTCGCGATTTCAAGAGCACAAATCTTTAGATTTACGAGGAATATATATCTACACACTACCAAAAAGTCATGTAAATTTCCGTGCTCTGAGACCAACACCTGCAAGCGGCCCAAATGACATAAGAATCAGTTGAAAGAAATGAGAAAATAAATTTTATCAATCGAACCTTTCGTCGAGTTGCGTATGATTCGGTTTGGGAACACTTAATTTTACATGACATGTTCGTTTACGTTCCATAATTAACGTCAAATATGGATTACGTCTCGTGTAAAATTAGTTATTTTTAAGTGTGTATATATCTATATAGGGAAAAATACACATTTCAATACCCCGCACTGCAACGCAGCGTTGCCAGATATACCGATTTATCGGTATTTATACCGATTTCCGAACTAGATACCGATATACAGATAAGGTTCCTCAGAATACCGATTTTTGAGGTGTTATACCGATTTATACCGATTTTTAAATAATCAAAATAATTATTGCCTACCTGCACTCAGAATTTCGGAGAAAATTATTATGTGAGATTTGTAGCTTTTTGAATATCTCAAATTTTTTGAGTCTTTAAAATTCTAAAAAAATCATCTTCAAAAATGTATTATGGATACTCTTTTGATTAATGTTTCGATTTCCTCACCGTTTTTCGCTACCCATGAATCGATAAACAGTCGATGGCTCTTTTTGGTAATTCCGGGGGAATCAGCATTATTTACTTCCTGGATTTTCTTCCAACTTTCCCCTGAAATTTTCTATTAACGATTCCTCTCAGAAACTTATTTTGACTTCCCTTGGAAGCTTCTTCAGCCTTCGCTCGAATGATTTTTCCCGGAACTTCAGGGATGCTTCTAGATTTTGATTGTGGATCCACACTAGCTGCAGGAACTTTTAAAAAGTTCTGAAACTTCAGAAAACACCGGAGCCGAACCAGCCTCAGGCTGAAAGCCTCCACAATAAAGAAAACTAACTAACTTCAGAAAAGTGTAGACTTTTAAGTAAGTTTCGATAAATTAAAGAATGTTTCAATAGCTTCTGTTAAAATTCTAAAACCCGGTCCAGCGAACTCCAGTGAACTTAAGGAAACATCATAAATATTTTGGATACTTCACAAGCCCAAAGAACGTATGGAACATTTAATGGTCTTCGGGACAGTTCCATTAGTTTCAAGAGAATTGAGAGAACTTTGGGAAGCTCCAAGAGCATCAGGACAATCAGATCAGATCTATAAATTTCAAGGAAATCGCTGAAATTTTAAAGGAGTTCCGAGAAACTCAGGTAATTTCCGAAAACTTCAGAAATGTTCCGAGGGGCTCATGCAAATTTAAGAAACGTGAGGGAAGTTACACGAACATTAGTACATTGTGAGAACATTTTATGGGAAGTTCCGTGCTTATTAATGGCAGTGTCGATGACTTTTAAAAATTAGAAAAATCGGGAAGATCAGAGAACTTCAATTGTGAGAGCGCTTAAGAAATTTCGTAATCTTCAAGAAAGTCTAGAGACCTTCAAAGTTGATTAGAGATATTCCGGTAGTCTCATAATAATCAGGGAAGTTCCAGGTATTTCAAAGATGATCAGAGTACTCCAAAACAGCTCGAGAACATATGGAATAATCCTAAGTACATTTCAGGAATATTCCAAAAACTTCAGGGATGTTTAATGACCATTTGGAAAATTTTCACAATCATTAGAACATCCCCCAAGAGCTCTTTCTTCCGGAATTACGTCCTTGTTTCTTTCGACTGTTCCGTTAGCGCTCAGGCTTCCGACTTCCTCCAGATTTTCTTCAATCTACCAGCCAGCGTCTCCAGGAAGATTCTTCTGTCTTCTCCAGGAAGTTCAATTAAACATCTCCCTGAAATTTCTTTCGTCTAGTTCTGGAATTTTGTCCAGTTAGTTTTTTTTACTTCTATCGGAAGATTTTTCCGAGCTTCTTCGGGCTTCCCCTGGAAATGGCTACTTCTGGAATTTATTTCCGATTTCCGAAATTTGATAGTGAAATCCAATTTTTTTTTCTGAAAATTTCTTTAAATTTTCGCCAGAAGTTTCTAAATTTATGCCTTGGAAGATCCGCGGATGTTTTTTCCAACTTCTCTCAGAACTTTCCTCAAATTTCCTCCAGGAGAGCTTATTTCTTCTTTCTATGGATGTTGTTTTCAGCTTCCTCCAGAAGCTAATTCAAACATTCCCCGGAGTTTTCTTCCAGAATTTTCCGATCATAGTCCTAAAATAAAAAAATGTCGCTTTCAAAAACGGCAAAAATATTAAATTATTTGAAATAGTAAATACCGATAAATACCGATTTTTTAAAACCTTTGATACCGATAAGCTTTAAAACATTCTGGCAACGCTGCTGCAACGACTCCGGACCTGATGCCTTCCGTCCAATATTGCTCACCAGTTGCATGGCGAAGCTGTTCGAGCGGATTACCAATCGTCGATTGACCACCGAACTAAAGTCGAGTAGACGACTTGACAAACCTCAGCACGATTTTCGTACAGGCCGCGGGAATGATACATAATTTGCCGAGTTGGAAAGATCACTGCCAACCCAAGATGAACACTGCCTGATAGTCTCCTTGGACCTGTCGAAGGCATACGATACCACCTGGCGACACGGAGTTCTGTGCACACTAAAATCATGGCTATTACGTGGTCGGATGATGAATATGCTGCAACGCTTTCTTTCGGAAAGGACGATCCAGGTGTCTGTAGGAGGACATATGTCTCGCAAACACCAGTTGAAAAATGGAGTACCACAGGGTTCTGTCCTATCAGTGACTCTATTTCTCGTTGCGATGCAGCCTATCTTTCGGGTAATACCGAGAGGAGTCGACACTCTTTTGTACGCGCACGACATTCTCCTCGTCGTACGAGGGGTAAAAAGTGAAGGACTACATCGCAAACTACAAGCCGCCGTCAAAGCTGTCGGCAAGTGGACGAAAAGCGTTGGATTCAGCATATCAGCAACAAAGTTCTACATTCTTTATTGCAGTCCGAATGCACGTCGAGAACCTGGGCGTAACATCATGATAGACCGAGTGTCCATCCCGAAGACAAACCGGTTAAGAGTCCTAGGTATAACACTCGGCCGAACTCTGAGCTTCAAACCTTATTGTCAAATGGTGAAGAAAGCGTGTGAACCTCGGTTACGAATCCTTCAGATGATCGGTGCCAAACTTCCGCGTGGCGAACGAAAATCGCTACTGCAGGTGGACTCGGCAACAAATACTGTTGACCCGCTTCCACCGATCAACCGTCGTCTACACCGATGGATCCAAACACGACAACACTGTAGGTGCCGCATTCCATAACAATTGTTTAGCGAGAAAGTACAGCCTCCCGAAGGAATGTACCGTTTCCTCTGCTGAAGCGTACGCCATTAAGATGGCTGTTTCCATCTCGAACATTTCGTACGAATTAGTCATTCTTACGGACTCTGCAAGTTGTTTCCAGGCCTTAGAGGGGGAGAGGTAGCTCATCGATTCTTCCGGTTCGCCTCCTAGCATCGTGCTATAAGGTACCAGGCGATAACCAGGGTAGTTGATCGATAGCTCGATGACGTCATTTCGTTGGCGTCTGCAATGGGAAATTCTCATAGCAGGCGTTGACGATGGGACGTTGTCGAGTTGTTGAATAGCAACTATCGTGGTAACTCACCGATTACCTGTCGATCTGCCAAATTTGGAAAGACGTCTGCATTGAATTGTCTCATATAATAATATTCCGCCCACTATATCACAAGAAATTGCGAGTAGCTGAGTGGAATGGAGATAAGTTAAGCATTGGGTACAGGACCAAGTCTCCCCTGGGTGGTGCCAAAAGATGAGCGCAATAGAATCATCAAGTTGCCATAAGGCACGGAATGAGACTATTGCATGGCTGGGTAGTCAAAGTCTTCCATTCGTTAGTCATTTCAGGTGGATTAGAACAGGTTTAGGTTTAGGGTGGGCGTTGGCCAGATTTGGATTTTTCAGATGTAATCCTGGATAGGACCCTGTCATTGAACGTCGCGTGAAAGTGAAACTTAATGAAGGCCTAAGTACTTTTTCGTAGTTTTTAGTTTTCGGATTTGAAAGATCGTTGGTTACAGTGGCCTGCTTACTGAGCAGAAAAACGAGGTCCCAGGTCCTTACATATCAAAGAGGGTAAAATCGCTTGTGTATCGTGTATTTTGCGAAACTCGTTGTTGTCGTTGGTTCCGGGTTTGAATGGATACAAAAATTTGAGCAACGGTATTATGTGATATGAGGGGCTCGGTGGCCTTAGAGCAACCGTTTTTGCTTACTGAGCAGAACATCATGAGTCTAATCTCAGGCCCATCCACATTCAAGATTCGTCAATCGTTTTATTTGTTAATATGACTACATGGTAATAACAGCAACTCGGTGATTAAAAAGGTGCTCGTCTGCCTAGTGGCAAACGTTTTTGCTTACTGAGCAGAAGACCGTGGTTTTAGTCCCAAGCTCCTTCGCGTTATATGATCATTAGGACATCAATTCAGCTTATCGTTTGCCAAAACGAACCCTGCTGCAAACCCAACCGTCTTATCCAACATCCCAGAGATTCCTCGTGGAAGTGCAGAGGTGTTCTCGGCTTCCATCAAAGCGAGTGTCATGTCAACACAATCCTTCCCATTCCTTTCTTGACTTGTGTTCGGGCGCGGCCGGCGCTGGTATTGCCTAATTTAAGATCACCAGTTTTTACACATTGAGGATGATTGCTAGTCCCAAGCATCGTCTATTAGTTCTCTGTGTAATTACAGCTGATCTGGCAGTAACAGAGTAGCAACCGTGGGCGTTCAATCAAGCACAAGCTTACGGACTCTGCAAGTTGTTTCCAGGCCTTAGAAGCTGGAAAATCTAAGCATCCGTGGACTCAGGAAGTGGAGCAAATAGCACGAAACAAATCCATCCGTTTCTGCTGGATACCTGGACATGCCAGCATCCACGGAAACAACGCAAACATGGCGAGAACACATGCTCCCATTGACATTCGC